GGAAGAAGGAACATTACTACTGACCTTATGGAAATAAAAGAGATTCTAAGGGAATCTGTGAACAATTATTTACCCCCCAAATGAAATAACCTAGAATGGACTAATTCCTAGAAAAAACAAATTATCAAAAAAAGATTGAGCAAATATATAGCAAGTAAAGCTATGAAATGAGCAACAATAAAAAATCAATAGAAGTCCAAGGCCAGATTGTCTTGCTGGTGAATTTTACCAAAACACTGAAAAAAGAATTAACACCATTCTTTCTCAAACTCTGAAAATATAAATGAGGGACCTTCTTGACTCATTCTGTAGCACCATTTACCAAGAAAACCAAAAACAGACAAAGAAATAAGTAAAAACAAAACAAAGCAACAACAAAAACCAACTCTACATATCAATATTCCTTAGATATATAGAATGTCTTCAACAAAATACTAGCAAACTGAAACCAGCCACATATAAAAAGGATTATGTATGATGACCAAATAGGATTTATCCTAGGAATGAAAGTTTGGTTCAACAAACAAAAATCAATCAATGTAAACAACGAATTTATGGGGTATGGAAAAAACACACAATCATCACAAAACCCTAAAAAACAAAACACAGTATGCTTTCATGATTAAAAAAAACCAACAAATTGTCATGAGAAAAGAACTTTCTCAACCTGATACACGTGGATGGAAGAAAAACAGCTAACATCATACTTACAGGTGAAGATTAAAAGCTGCTGTGCTGACATCAGGAACAAGATAGGGATGTTTGCCTTCATCATTTCTACTCAACCTCATATTGCCTGTTCTAGCCAGTGCAGTTAGGCAAGAAAAACAAATAAAAGGCATTCAGTTTGGAAAGGAACAAGTAAAACTCTATTTATAGATGACATGATTTTATATATATAAATCTCCTAGTAAACCACATAAAAGCTATTAGAGCTAATACATTCAGCAAAGTTGCAGGGTACAAGGCCAGCACAAAAAATCAGTTGTAGTTCTCTACACTAGCATTGAACAATCTGAAAAGAAAATTAAGACTATATTTCCATTTATATTAACATCCACATTAAATACCTATAAATAAATCTAAATTTATAGGTGAAAGGTTTGTATACTTGTATATTGAAAATTATAAAATGTTGCTAAAAGATATAAAAGAAGCTCTAAATAGATTACATATATATAATATATATGTACATATATATGTATATATGTTGTGCATATATGTATATATACTACACATATATGTACATATATTTATATTTATATATATAATTATAAAGGCTACATAGGTATTCTATTTTCAGGAATTGGAAGACCTAATATAGTTAAGATGGCAATCGTGCCCAAAACAGTAGCTTAAATGCAATGCATATCAAAATTCCAGCAATCTTTTTTGCAGCAATTAGCAAGTTTATTATAAAACCACATGTAAATACAAGGGACCCTGAATAACCAAAACAGAAAAAGACTAAGAAATTTGGAGGATTCAAGTTTCCCAATTTCAACACTTACTCTAAAGCTACAATCATTGAAAGTTTGAAACTTGGATAAGGATCAATGTACAGAGTAATGGAATAGAATTCAAAGTGCAGAAATAAGCCCATATATCTATGGTCTCTTTTCTTTCTTTCTCTCTCTTTCTTTCTTTCTTTCTTTCTTTCTTTCTTTCTTTCTCTCTTTCTTTCGAGAGTCATAGTTTTTTTTTTTTTTTTTTTTTTCTGCCCTAGGCTTACCCTGGAGAATTTTTTTTTATTTTTATGTATTTTTAAAATTTCTTTTCAGTGTTCCAGAATTCGTTTATGCACCACACCCAGTGCTCCATGCAATATGTCCCCTTCATAATACCCACCACCAGCTCACCCAACCTCCCACCCCTCCACCCTTCCAAAACCCTCAGATTGTTTTTCACAGTCCACAGTCTCTCATGGTTCATCTCCCCCACCAATTTCCCCCAACTCCCTTCTCCTCTCCATCTCCCCATGTCCTCTATGTCATTCCTTATGCTCCACAAATAAGCAAAACCATATGATAATTGACTCTCTCTGCTTGACTTATTTCACTCAGCATAATACCTTCCAGTCCTGTCCATGTTGATACAAAAAGTTGGGTATTCATCCTTTCTGATGGAGGCATAATACTCCATGGTATATATGGACCACATCTTCCTTATCCATTCGTCAGTTGAAGGGCATCTTGGTTCTTTCCACAGTTTGGCGACTGTGGCCAATGCTGCTATGAACATTCGGTGCAGTTGGCCCTTCTTTTCACTACATCTGTATCTTTGGGGTAAATACGCAGTAGTGCAATAGTAAGAGTATGTTTCTTGGTTTGCTTCTCTCTTTTTTTCCCCTAAGCTAGTTTTCTTTCTTAAATTCCACATATGAATGAAATCACATGGTATTTCTTTTTCTCTGATTCATTTCACTTAACATAATAATGCTCTATATCTCCACCTTTTTGTTACAAATGGTAAGAATTCATTATTTTTTATTGCTGAATAATATTTCTGTGTGTGTGTGTGTGTGTGTGTGTGTATACTACTTCTTTCCTATACATCCATCAGTTGATGGACACTTGAGCTGTTTCCATAATTTGGCTATTATAGATATTGCTGCTGTATACATCAGTGTGTATGTATCCCTTTGAATTAGTGTTTTTTTTTTATTCTTTGGGTTAATACCTAGTAGTGCAATTCCTGGATCAAAGGATAGTTGTATTTTTAACTTTTTAAGGAATCTCCATACTGTTTTTCACAGTGGTTGCACCAGTTTGCATTCCCAACAACAATGTGGTTCCTCCTCCTCCACGTCCTTGTCAATACCTGATATTTCCTATGTTGTTGATTTTAGCCATTCTGACAGGTGTGAGGTGATATCTCATTATAGTTTTGATTTGTATTTCCTTGATGATCAGTGATGTTGAGCATCTTTTTGTGTGTCTTGTTGCCATCTCTTTGTCTTATTTGGAAAAATATCTATGTCTTCTGCCCATTTTTTAATTGTATTATTCATTTTTGGGTTATTGAGTTGATAAGTTCTTTATATATTTTTGGATATTGACTCTTTATCAGATATGTTGTTTGCAAATAATTTATCCCACTTCATAGGTAGCCTTTTAGTTTTGTTCATTGTTTCCTTCACTGTGGAGAAGTTTTTATTTTGATGAAGTCCCAATAATTTATTATTGATTTGGTTTCCCTTGCCTCAGGAGACATATGTAATAAGAAGTCAATGTGGTGTGGTCTGTTGATTTCAACAACAATCCTAATGCCATTCAATAGGGAAGGAAAAGTCTTTTCAACAAATAACACTGACACAACTGGTTATCCACATGTGAAAGAATGAATTTGGACATCTACCTCACACCTTACATAAAAAGTACTCCAAAATGGACCAAGACCTAAATGTCAGAACTAAAAGTATAAAACTCATAGAAGAAAATGTAGGCTTACATCTTTATGACTTTGGATTAGGTAACAGTCTTAGATATGACATCAATCTGTAATCCCTATTCAGACAGGATGTCTGTTATCCCACTTTCTCCTCAATACTACCATAGTATAAATCTTTTAAAGTTTGCTAACATTTTGCTGACTATATGGTTTTAGAAAGGTATGTCATTATCTCTTTGTTTTTATTTCCTTAACTGCTAGTGAAGTTAGGTGTATTTCCATATATTGACTTGTCATTTGCATTCTATATTATGGGTGTGTGTGTGTGTGTGTGTGTGTGTGAGCACGTGGGCACTCATATAGGGGTTGAAGGAGGATATGATTTTGGTTGTGGGTGTATGTGGTTGTATCTATCATGTCTTCTATTTAATTATTCTACTGTACCGAATTCTCAAAAGAAAACATCCTCACAATCTAAAACCTTTCACTTTGTTGCATGAAAAGGCAATGTGTTTTGTAGATGTGTTTTTTAATATTGACTTAGCAGCAGGTGAGCTTAATTTATTTTTCTGTCTTTTATTGCTACTACTACCATCATATTCCTATATGCATTCACTCATGATTAAATAGAATTATTTGCTGTTTTGAATTACTAACTATTGTAGATGAGAAGAAAAAGCTGCTTTATTTATCCTAAGGGAAAGCAAAAAATACAATACAATAAAACTTTAATATATGAATGAACATTTCTTTAACATTTTAACTCTTTTAATTTAATGTAACCCCTATGTATATGATTAAACTTCTATTAGATCTCTGATAAAACAGGTAATTGCAGACATTTTGACAGCTGATATTGCAACTTACCTCCTGAGTTATTGCTTTCTTTTTACTTAATTATTGCGACTTCCCTGACTACTGGCAGAAAAGCTTTACAATGAAAGGGACTAAATTACTTTTTAAACCAACAGAGGCATAAAATATTCCCTAAAAGTAGTGATTTGCATTTTTATAAAGTTTGAAGTTTAGTTGCTTGTTTTATTTTCTATAGATTCTAAGCTTCATTTTGAAAGAAATTATGTCCTCACAATGCTAAGTGATCCAGAATTAATTTCATATTTAGGTAGCTATACTTGGAATAAAGAACTTCTTAATCATAGTTCCATTGTGATCACTGGTGTGGATGATTGGTCCATTGCTGAGCATGATTTAAATAAATGATGAACAAATTCACGTGAGGTTTTGGATAAGATTTTTAAAAAAATAATGTTAATGCGCAATGGCACAATTTAAAGTAACTGCTTTCCTCATAGGAAATCCTTCTTTCAAAATCAGCCATATTTTTAACCTTAACAATACTAAAAAAGAGAAAAAGGAGAGTCATACAAACAAAAATGAAAACAAGACATTTCAGAGTTATTACTTCAAGAATTAAAATAGCCATTTGTGATAATTAACTTTGCACTGTTCTTCCAGCTTTTGTTGTTGTTGTTTGTTTGTTTGTTTGTTTAGTGGATAGAACTGGCAGCAAAAGTAACTTTGAGAAAAAGAATACTTTCAATTCTGTCTTGCTAGTATCCATTCCTGTTTTTGTTCCTATCTTTCCGCAGGAGTAACAACTGTTCTAACAATGACAACTCTAAGCATCAGTGCTCGGAATTCCCTCCCCAAAGTGGCCTATGCAACTGCCATGGACTGGTTTATTGCTGTTTGTTATGCATTTGTGTTCTCTGCCCTAATTGAATTTGCAACTGTTAACTACTTCACCAAAAGAGGATGGGCTTGGGATGGGAAGAGTGTAGTAAATGACAAGGTAAGTGAGAACTTCCTTCTCACCATGATTAAGAGAATCTCCTAACAGATTTAGCTTGTAACAGATATGTTCCTAAAAACGGACATGAAGAACATGTGAATGTAAATTATCTGTATCTTTATATCTATGTCATAGATATAGATATATATAAATCATACAGATTTCTTTTAAAGTATGCTCTTGCCTGAAATTCTTTAGGAGTGCTTGTGTATTACTTCTGTTCAAACTCCCCAGCATCTGTTGAGCTCTGACTGTGTGTAAGGCATTGGGCTAAGTTTTTGGCATATGTTCTATCATGTAATCTTTAAATTTTGTGATTAAGGTCTCTTTTTAACTCTCAGTTTTCTAATGAAGAAGCTGAGACTTGGTGAAGTTATTTACTTGCCCAAGTTCACACAACTGGTTAATAAGTATACTTAAATGCAGATCTATTTGACCATTAAATTAGTACTCTTAAATACCATACTGCTTTGGCATTAACTTTACCTGTTATAGAATTTCAGACCCTATCAGTGGGTTGAGTTACTCTTCACCTATCCCCCATCTCTGTTGCTTGGATATAAAATTTCAAGAAACATTATTCTTCTCCCATGTTATATGGAATAAGTATAACTAGGTGTGAAATGCCTAGAAATTTTAAGTTGCTCACGTAGTCTATGAGAGTTATTTGTTTTGAAGATTAATTTCTTTGGGAATTATTGGTGTCCATTTTTAGATTGCAAGTACTGAAGCTAGTGGGAGTTTTGACCATTAATATAATAGCTGTTCCACTTATTTTATAGATTATTATTCATCTGCATTAAGAGGAAGCTCTGGATATATCACAATGAGATACATAACATTTTCTTAATAGTTCAGTTCTACTTGGAGGGCTTTTTTTTAACAATATATCTATTAAAATACTTCTTCCATTAAATTTGGAATAACATACTTGATGATCTTACTTCTTTATCAGTTATTTAAATATTTTTTATTTCTAAGATCATATTTCAGTTTAAGCATATAAATGGTTGATGTTATCATTTAAAAGTCTCACTCTTTTTTTTTTTAATTTTATAAACTGTGTCAGTTTTAATAAGTGCTGGTTTATTTCATTTTATAAGTGATGTTTTGCATACTAACAGCCACTGAATGAATGTTAAAGGGAATCTGATTAATTTTCTATGCTTAACTTCAAGGCTATTTCAGAATTTCCATTACATTTTATTGTTGATTTATGTTTTCATTTTCCATATAATGTAATGCTTTTTCATTGCTGTCTATGCAGTTATTTCTTTTTAGTTATATTAGTTAAACATGCACTATCATAGTAACTTTTTTGAAGATTAAATGCTAGTTATATTTCTAAATGCCAGACATATTTATAAATTTGTCACAAAAGAAAAATAGTGGTTTGTGGTATAAATGCTCAGAATAGATATTTATTGATATGTCACTTTTTAATGCTCTGAGGGTGCCAGTCAAATTGACATTGTGATTTGGCGTATCAAATAAAATACCTTCTCCCCGAACTTGAAAAATAGAGGTACTTATAAATGCAAAAAATACATTCCTGATAATGCATTCTAAAAGAAATAACTTGGTACTAATGAATATTGGATTTAAATCAAACCACATACCAAATCACACAGAGTAAAGACAAATCTAGGACAAAATCATTGATGTTCCAACCTAATCTGCAGGAAAATAACTAATAAATTCTATATTATTTCAGTTCTAAGTGGTTCAAGGTCATGGTTAAGTTAAAGGGAATATTACATCCAACCTGTTGCGTGTTCTTAATCACTTTTCCATAGCTAAAAGGGCCAAACACAATGACAGGTACTTGCTAGGCACTTCAGAGATTTTTGTTGAATAAAAGAATAAATGAGTTTCCTTATTAAGTCTGGCAATGCAACAGCAGTGAGACTTCTTCTTTGCCTTTATGGAAAGGATTTTAGAACTTGACAATGGTGAATTTATCAGTGAGTACTCAACCAAATTTCTTGATTCAAATGAATTTTGGGAGGTGCTTCCTAAACTTAGCTTAGAAATATCCAGGTCCTTAAAAATGAAAGGAGATGAAGTAGAGTGCCCCAAACTAGCATATCTGCCTAAAAAAAGATTACAGTATAGTCTACTTTCAGCAACCTCTGCTTTAGTTTTCCTTAGATTTAATTTTTAAGTGGAAAAATGGTAATTTTCTTGAATTACAGAGTTTTTATCCACTGCCCATATCGGCATCCTTCCAGTTTTATCAGACAAGTAGAAGCCCTCTGCTTTTGAAGTTGGTATCATAAGCAAATGCAGTTAAATTATCCATCAATCCAAAGAGCAAATGATAAGTCCTTAAACACTCGTTAACTAGCAAATATTACGTTGCCTCATAAGAATAATATCTCAAAGACACATATCACTAATATAGGTTTGAAAAAAGATAGATGTATTTAACATAAAATTTTTGTGTAGATTGTGCTCTGATGATCTTTAAAGTTAGTTTATGCCAATACATAAATCCACTCAGTCTATATTCAAGCTGCATTTGAGCCCTCTCGTTAAAAGACACAGCCTACCCTGCTCTGTGATCTTGGACAAGATGTTATACCACTTTTAGCCTCAGGTGTGAAACTAGAAAACAAACCTTATCACCCTAAAAATGTGGTGCTGGATCAAATGATCCAAGTCCAGTTTTTGTGCCCTTGCATTTATAAAAGTATCATCTTGTGAAATTCCCCAGTTCTTCTGGAACCTTCCCTGATACCCAGTGTTCTTCCACATGGCCAAGACTAATTTGTCTACTCCAGTTCTTAATCTCTTTCTTTCTTCTTCTTTTCTCAGGCTTGAACCATCAGTATTTTCTTCTCCTTTCTTCAAAGCCATCTTCTCCTTTTTGACCATCTCCTTCCTTTCAGTTAAGGAGTATGTTAATATGCTTAACTTACCAGGAAATGAAACCAAAACTCTCTCCAGATCCTATGTGACCCATCCCCCCACATTCAGATTCTATCCTTTTTCTCCATTCAGGCTTTTTTGAAAGCATTTCTTACAAGGTCTGTGTTCTCATTTTCAATTTAATTCTCAGCCCACTATAATCTGATTTCCTTTTCATTTATTTTCCTGTTAACTGAAGAACACCAATAAAGTCCACACATTCAGATGTGCTAATAACTTCATTTTTCTCAAGGGATCCCCTTGGGCCCCTTGAATACTGCTGTGTTTCAGAACCCCATACGGGCCAAAGTCAGCAGCATTTTCTCTTTCCCTCTTTGAAACAAGCCTCAGAATATCAACCTCTTGCCCTCAAATCGTAGCAGCTGCCTCTGTTCATTCTATTCTGAGAGTCTCTGCCCGAGTTCAGAGAAGATCCAATTTCCCTAGCATCTGCCCTTGTTTATCCCCAAAGACAGGAATTTGTCTTTATTTTATTGCTGTTTTTATCTTTATTAATCACTATGGGATTCTTACTTGAAGTGTCCTACTGACGATATCTGTGGGACTATCTGCAACTCGAAGCACACCGTCTACCCATTTACTGTCCCCAAAGAGACAATCCTTATACATCCTCAGCACCAATGTCCATCTTCAGGAAGTTTCTGAACCCTGCATCCCCTAAATGATTTGATCCAATTGTAAGTGCGTATCGTACCCTGCCCTTTTGCATTAGTTCCTTTATCACAGTTTTTAATTACATATTTATGTCTCCTTCCCTTCATTGATCACTATAAAAGTGACCACATTTATTTCAATAAATCATTTATCCTTGGCCTTTTCACAGTATCCTGTAATATTGGTTGTTCAATAAATATGGGATGAATGAATGAAATAGAACCAAATCAAATCTACAGCTCATGCCTTTATCTCATCTTCCACAGTTATTATCTACAACTGCACCCCTTACCCTCCTTTTAACTTCCAGGATCATATATCAAACCTGTTCCGTAGGCATTTCTACATGAATACAACATCCCAATCTTTGTGTCTTTTTTTTTTTTTTGAAGAAAGAACAAACAAAAATAAAGCCTTCTAAATTGATTTTCTATCTTTTCCCTGCTTACATGTATGTATTTATGTATGTATGTATGTATGTATTTTTCAATCTATGGCAAAACCTAATTTCACATACCAACAACTTGGAAGTATCCCTTACCAGCTAACCTGCCATCAGATGGTGCCTGTTTTACTGTCTCTATGCCCTCACTGTCTCCCATTATTTTAAATCTTTTTATTTATCACAGTTCCTAGTCATATTTCCCTCCAATCCATCCTCCACATTAGAGCTAGGATCGTCTTTCTAAAATGGGTATCTGATCGTTTCATTTTTCAGCTCCTTAAGAAATTGTTGAATTCTTAATGTTAACTGCTGAACTCTTTAATGAGTTCTTCAAGCTGTTCAGCTAATATGGCCCAAGTATGTACCTTTCTCATAAGCTTATTTATATATATGTTGAATTAAGGAAATATTACTGTTAATTTCTGTACACTTACTATTATGTGGCTGGGAATATCTCTGTGTTAGAAATGAGAAATTAAGGATGCCTGGGTGGCTCAGTGGGTTAAACATCTGCCTTCAGCTCAGGTCATGATCCCAGGGTCCTGGGATTGATTCTAACATCTGGCTCCTTGCTCAGCGGGGAGCCTGCTTCTCCCTCTGCCTGCCACTCCTGCTGCTTGAGCCCGCACAGTCTCTCTCTGACAAATAAATAAAAATAAATAAAATCTTTAAAAAATAGTAATGAGGGGGCACCTGGGTGGCTCAGTGGGTTAAGCCTCTGCCTTCAGCTCAGGTCATGATCCCAGGGTCCTGGGATCGAGCCCCACATCGGGCTCTCTGCTCAGCAGGGAACCTGCTTCCCCCCTCTCTCTGCCTGCTGCTCTGACTACTTGTGATCTCTCTCTCTCTCTCTGTCAAATAAATAAATAAAATATTTAAAAAAAATAGTAATGAGAAACTATAGGATTGATCAACATAAAGTTATTTGCTCAGGATCACATCTAATAAGTGGTGCATCCAAGATTGAACACAGAGCTAAATTGCATGCTCATATTCTCCCTCTAGCCATTACAAACATCTCCAAATATCCATGCCCCTACACATCTCTGTGACATTAGAATGTGCTGATCCCTCTTACTAAAATGCCCCCTCCTTCCTTCCCTAACTGATGAACCCCTACTTAGTTTTTAATATCCACCTGATTTTACTTAATATTTCTAAATGAATATAATTGCCACCCCTGATATGTTTCTAAAGTACCCAATACAAATTCCTTTTGTGTAACCTTATTAAGTTATACTTTTACTACAAACATTTTTGTTTCCAACAGTAGGTTACATGATCTAAGAGGATAATAGTTATGTCTTACTCATCATTTTCTCTATTACCTGGCATAACAGTTAGCACATAGTTTATTTGAATTAAATTAAAAATAAATGACTTTAGTCTCTTGAGATTATTTCCATTTCTAAATCTGAGTCAGTGGTTCTACACTGGCCAAAAAAGGCATATTCTATGGAAACACGCTAGATATTAAATTACTTAAAACACAGACTTAGCAACATAATATCCAAACTAACATGAAATGTGCCATTGTTTTGTGATTCACACCATGCAATTCATAGGAGACATCACATTTCAAGTGTTTTATTCATTTGTTTGCATTTTTTTAACATCCAGCCTTGTTCCAAAAGCATTTCAGGCAGTTTACCAAAAGAATGCATGTGCTTAAATTATTATAAAATAAAATATAAGTAGAAGTAGGATATCAGGATGAAGGAAAATAGAATGTAAGTATGTACACCATTTGGGCCAGGACATTAAGCATAATCCATAGCTAGAGAAGTAGAACTTTAAATTCTGAACTTCTTGGCTACTAGAGTAAACCATGGGGTGGTGGGGAGTTACTATCTTTTCTTTTATTTTAATCAAAAAATGGAAGTATAAATTTTCTTATGGAAACTATTTTCCTACACTGAATTACATAAACCGATATCATATGGTTTTATATTAGGGAAAGTTGGGTACTATTGAAAGTAATGTCAGCATTTTCCCAATAAAGGCAGTAATGAATTTCATATTGATGTTTCTTGTAGTCCCCTTCAATAAAAGCTGAAGGCATTACATTAACATACAACTCAGTGAAGGCAATTCTTCAAGGAGCTAAACTAATATGGTCCAAGTATATAGCTTTCTCATGGCCCAATTTAATCCAAGGAAAGACTTTAGAGTACTTAGAGAAGTGGATGGACTGTATAACCTTCAAACAATCTTCTGTAAGTATCACTTTTCTCAGTCAGGATGGTTAGCAGACAGTTAATAGCAGCATTATCGGACCAAGGAGCATGTTGCTGCTTTACAGTTAATGGGCTGGATAGTAGCCACAATAGACTAAAAAAGCAACATGGTGTATATAGTAAGAGCATAGAGTTGCCACTTTTGGCTACCTTGGGTTTTTTCCAGAGTCTGTCTTATTTAGTATTACATTTATGAGAGCTCCATTTCCTGATCCTAAGAACAATCTCTGCTATTCTTTCCAATTCTGAAACCATATGATTATTATTTTTATTTGTATCCCAGGTCACTTTGCTAATAGATGGCTATATTTTAGATAGAACTTTTGCTCAAGTTATTAACACATTATTTTATCTAATACTCTAAGGAAGCTGAGATTAGTTTGCCCCATGGGGCAAAAATCAAGACATTTTGATTTCTATAATCAGGAATTTTCCACACTTGAAATCATAAATACATATTCAGACATTCTAACAAATATCAAACTCAGAATATTCTGAACCCTACAAAACATTGTTTAAAAAATAGAAATTTTAAGTAGTATGCACTATATTTCATTTTCATTCCACTTCAGTAACATCATCAACATATTCTATAGTGGCATATTTTACTCTTTTCCCCCAGTAATGTTTAAAAATATATGTTACCGATTTTGTGTTTAGCCATATTTTCCCCCTTTCCAGTTATATGAGTCTCAATTATAGTAAAACAACTTCCACAGACATGTGGAATAGTAAAATTGAGGACTTTCAAGATAATTACATAGCAGAATTGTAGGACATACTATGGGAATCTAGTTTTTATGAATTTAATAAATGCCTACACTATAAAATACTTTATATTTTATATATTATATATTTTCTAAATATGTATTTTTGATCACACTAATCATTCTTGTGCATGTCATTCCCTGTAAACATTTTTTAAGCCTTTTCTGTGCTAGGAACTATGCTAGGAGCTCTGCATTGCACTGTCTATGCTTTCAAGGAGCTCACGATTAAATAGAAGAAAAAAATAAATGAGAAAAGTATACGCTCCATTATTGAGACAAACACTAGTGTGCTATGAAAAACACATGGAAGGCGTACTTACTGCAATAAGAAACGATTTTGAGCTGAGTCTGAGTCGGTATAAAATGGATCTGTCTAGGGGATCAGTGTGTGTTGGTTATCATTTCCTGGCTCAACTGTGGTATCATTCACAAGTTAGGGGATATAGGGAGGTATACAGAATTAGGTTGGGAGTAAAAGTAACCCCAGTTCATTTCTGAATATTTTATGTTTTAATTACCCATGGAATATATGATAGAGAAGCCTAGTGAAATATAACAGGTAAGAATTCTGGTGAGAGATATTATGTCAATCATCCATGTATTGGTTACAAAAGCCTTAGCAGTTACTTAAAATTAATAGAAATTTGCAGTGTCCACTTGCCTTCATTTCCCCCATTCTCCTTCTGTTTGGTTTCATTCTTCACATTTAACATTGATTTCTTTACTTATATTTTCAGGCATACATGGCCTTATTCTTATATGAAGTGGCCTACCTAAGAGACTTAAAGCAGAAATACAGATTGACCAAATTAGACTATGAGAAATTAGGTAGTGTGAACTATTGGAACCTGCCTAATTCTCGAAAGAAAAAAAAAAAAAAACTTTATATACGGACATGAACCTTAAAAAAATTACCCTGTGGCAGTTAGTACTGGTTTGAACAGTTAACACAATGATAGTCTTCATTGCATTATTTCTCTTCAAGGCTCTGACGGTCTGAGTGTAGGCCAAGGGTCATATTGAATAAAGTAAAATTAGTCTCAAAGGGGCAAAATCATTGTCCCCAGGACTCAACCTGCTGACGGTCTGCCTTGATCAGAGGCTTGTATGACACTCGAAGAGGATTTATAACATAATATATCAGTTTGGTTCTTTTTAATAGAAGTTAATAATGAATAGGGTGAGGTAGTATCTTCTAGTAATGGCCTAGAGTACAAATATGTTTTAATACTATCACCAGCAGATCTCTGTCTTAGAAAGAACAGTAATAGAATATATTATGTGGACTTAATCTGTGTACTCTGGTTTAGCAGATCTAAGAACTGTAAGTCATCTATGAATTCAACAGCATTTTTTCTCTATATACATGATATTAACAATCTTAAATAGATAAGAACAATTTGTTTTACTGCAAATTTCTGACAATTACTTTCAAATGGACTGAAGGGAGTTATTTTATCCTTTAAAACAAGACTTTGTAAGATTTGAGCCAGAAAGACTTTACTGGACTGTGGCTAGGAATTACGTAGGTTTAGGACCGTGAGGGTGTCCTGGGCTTCATTTAATTCACTGGTTAGAAATTATAGGTGTCCACCACTGGGTTTTGACTAAAGATAGTACTCATGACTGTTGCACTTTTGCTTGCTGTTGGTTCTGAAAATAATCAAGTTTCCAAGTTCCAAGAGAGCATTGTGAAGTCAAACCATCATCTTGTCAGGTACTGAGCTTGTCTCTCAACTTTATACTTACATTCAGAGATTGAAGCCATACTTTGAGCGATGAAAAAGAAATATGATGAAATTTTGTTCTCTGTAGTTAAGTCAATAAAAGTTACACACATACATTAAAATTATTTTTAACACTGCTTATTATAGTATCTTCAGTATTGGGGTTAAACACACACACATACACACACACACACCCCAGCATACAAACATGCAGGGGTGATATTTGCCGGTACATCCTGGTACAGCCCTCTGGGTATTTACAGCAGATATTCATCCCGATTAGTTAGAGGACCTGTTCTGATTTGTTAGTGTGTCTGCTTCAGAGTTTGCTAAATAATTTTAGCACCAACTGTGGGTTTATATAAGATTGAAGGTTATTTGCATTGGGCAGGAAGGGGGTTGGTAAGTGTCAGTACAGAGTTTCTAACCATAGGCTCCTCTTGCAACAAAGGACGTTTGCATTTATGTTTCTTTGTCAAAATGTCTAAGCCTTGCACCATAAATCTTGACCTAACTTAAATGTCCCTCTTCCAAGACACCTTTTTTGAGGTCCTGCTTGCAATGTTTATGTATATTGTCTATACATTTTATAAGCCAATAATCTTGTTTAGCTTGTAATAGAGTTATAACTGTTACTACTCTCCACTAAGAGGCTGTGCTTTTGTATGTGGTTTGAATATTCGTTTATTCATTTAATTCTCATAACAGTTCATTATGGCCTTGGTATAATTATCCCGTTTTTTTTTTTCAAACTAGAAGGTGAAGCAGGGAGAGGTGAAGGAACATCCCCAAAGTCCGAATTCTAAGGGCAGTTTCATATTATTTTAAAGGATATTTAGGTAGAATTGATATAATGATAACATAAACACTATATGTTACATACTTGATGGTTTAAAGAGTCTTTTTAGAAGATTGACCTGGTGATACAAACTTCAATTGGAAAAGTTTAGGAAAAAGCATACTCCCAGGTTTCAAATAGCTTCCTCAAAGAGAAAGTCACACAGTAAGATGCTTAAAGTAGAACTTTAGAAGTCACACGCACTTGAGTTTGTGTGATCATTCAGCCACTTAATAGACAGGAGACCTGGTTATGTCAGGAAACCTCTTTAGCCTCTACTTTGGAATTTGTAACATAGGAATTGGCATAGAACTTACCTCCTATCCAGTAGTGAAGTTTTTCACAAATGACACCCTCAATGGTGACTAACGTAACACATGAAAAGCATGATGGAGGGAGAGCCTTCCAGTCTAGGAAGCAGCATGGCCATAGGCATCAAACAAGAAAGTGTTCTTGAAAACTGAAGTTATTTCATGAGACTAGTGTATAATTAATGAAGTAAAGAAGCCATGGTAAGAACTACTGATTTTATTCTAAGTTCCTTGAGATAGTATTCAAGAGATTTAAGCTGAGGAGTGACATGATCCCATTGATGTCTTAAAGAAAAAAAAAAAAGCCCTGTGGCTAGAGTGTGTCTATGATTGGACAAGGTCAAGTGAAAGCTGGGAGAGTGCAAAGCATGTTGTTTGGTCCAGGCAGGAGATAACTGTGAGTCATATTCAAGTAGATGGGGATTATGAAGGGAAGCAGGTTGTGGATGAGCTAGGCAAAAAACAAAGTTTGTATTTTATCTTTGTCCCAGATTTTTAGTATTTATTTCACTGCCAACTGTATATGGTTAGCTTCTCATCATATTAGTAAAACGTTCGACATGAAAATGAGAAACCCTGTTATCTAGTTAAAGAAGTTAAATTTCTTTATTCAGAAAATGTGGTCATTGTAGATGATCGTTCCTCTGGTTAAAATATTTCTACATTTCATTTATTCATTCTCTCATCCATTTAACAAATATCTGAATAACTTACAAGAGTCAAAATGTCATATCATTTATCAAATGTGTGGTTTTGATTGTTTGTTTTCCATGTAAACAACAACAAAATATGGTTCTCCGGGAAGATGGTATCACTGATTTTACTCTGAGCTTTCCTCATGGTTTCAGGACGCCTTTTATTTATTTTCCTAAATTTCATCTTTCTAATGGATGATGATGTTTATCAAAATACTTTTCTTCAGAATTTGAACTGGAGTTTGGAAAATGTTAAATGGCAGGCTCAACCCACATTGTGTTAATTCTTGTATTTTTCAATAGAAAAAAGAAAAAGCCTCTGTCATGATACAGAACAATGCTTATGCGGTGGCTGTTGCCAATTATGCCCCGAATCTTTCAAAAGACCCAGTTCTCTCCACCATCTCCAAGAGTGCAACCACGCCAGAACCCAATAAGAAGCCGGAGAACAAGCCAGCGGAAGCCAAGAAAACCTTCAACAGCGTTAGCAAAATTGACAGAATGTCTAGAATAGTTTTCCCAGTTTTGTTTGGTACATTTAATTTAGTTTACTGGGCTACGTATTTAAACAGAGAACCTGTATTAGGGGTCAGTCCTTGAATCTGGACACAGGTTATCTTTGGGATGTATAGCAACATAGAACTTTGTTTTGCTATGTACAATCTGACTAATAACTGCTAATTTGTGAACCAATATGTACAGTATGTATATAGCTATATGGCTTACCAGTAGACCTCTAACGGAGACACGCATTTGCTAACTTGTGGAATTGCAGGCAGAAAGCACCCCATACCCAAAGAGCCATTGCCTTTTTTTAAAGATTTACCCTTGGAACTCGTTTAAAGTGGCTTTCTCATGGCCTGGTTTATTCCCTACTAGTGATGAAAATGAGGCTCCTATACCATACTTGATGAACTCTTTTGATTTAGATCTTAAATATTAGGACTATTTTCTACTGTAGCCTAACTATAACGTAAGATAACACTGTGGTTCCAAGATGAATTCTTCTAAATCACAGAACCTCGTATCTGCCACATCTGTTCCCTTCATGAGTGCTCAGAAACCCTGCTAGTGTAATTGGAAGCTTAGCACACATCAGAAGAAAAAACTAGAGATCTGAAATCAGCTTTTAATTACTCTGTATAGCATCTATAGCAACCTATTACCGCATGACAAGCTCAAATAATTATGAGTCACTCCTGACAGGATGTTAATTATGCCTAGACTTTAGTAATATCAGAATGTCAAAGTCATTACATTTTATCCTCAGAGTTTACTTGAGAGTAATAATTGAAATCCTACAGATTATTTTAATCATTGGAAACTACCTTAAATTAAAAAAAAAAAAAGACAAATGTGTCTTACTCTTTCCAGGTATGTGTTGTATTGAAATTGATCAGCTAAATTTTCTTGGTGCTGGCAACTGGAAAAAGCATCCCACTTGGCTGCAGTAAAGCAACATTCATGTCGATTAGAAAATTGTGCCAAAAACTCCCGCCAATGAGAATTCATAGGTGTCCCAGAATTTAGATGAGCACTTACACGATTCTCTTCTTTCCTGTTTACTGCAAATTCTGCCTTAAGGCTTCTCGTCACCAGGACTCAGAAGCCACTAATTACAAAGGAAAGGGCAGTTAATTGGCACATTTTTCTGTCTTGAAGCAGCGCTTTCAGATCAGAATTAATGTAAATCAGCTTTTGTAAATTGCAACTTTAAATTTCAGTGACTCAAATTTACAACAGCTTTGTATACCAGAAGAGGTTTTGGTAAGAGTTGAACATTTTTAAACAGAAACTTTAAAGCATCACCAACAGATCGTGGATTAGTTCACACGCACACACGTAAATGAGCATGTGCGTGTGCACGCGTGCGCACGTGTGCGCGCACACACACACTGATTAAATTAGAACACACACAAATAACTAAATTAGAGACCACAGTTTTCAATTTTATATAATTACTAATTATTAATGGATAAAATTCATTTTTCTTTTAATATTTTAAAATATACTCTCTGTGCCCCTGAAATGTGTTAATAGAAGTTAACAATTGTGTCTCATGCCTAGATTTAACATTTTTGGAAAACCTGAAAACTTTTTGACTCACATCTACATTAGCAGTTATTAGTTGACTTTTACTAATAGATACACCTTTATGATGGTGTTTTTGTAGAAACATAAGTAGTCAAATAGTGGCATTTCTTGCAGTTTTGTACAGTATTTCAGTATAGTGCATAAGTAAGTATGTTCATAAAATCAAATAAAAGGAGTATCTTATGGAAATAAGCAAAATCACAGCAAAACTTGTTATTCCTTTGCCTCGTTTAAGTTTTTTTTCATTTTCTTTGTTTTAGTGTGATTCTATTATGTGCTTTGCATGACTGTATTAATACCAAGGTCACAAATGCATCTTATTAACAGAATTTGCCGTGGAGACAGCTTTGACGTTAAAAATTCCCTCACAAAAGGTAATCCGTAATCCTTAATAAAATAAAATTTTTACATGAGCTAATAAATGTATTTCTTTAATTCCCTTCCAATTATAGCTTCTTTGTCATCTAAATAGTTTTAACATACGAGATCCTATTTCCTACACATTTAAATATAACCTGGATCTTTGGTAGAGTTTTAAATTGTGCGAGAGTCAAAGAGAGTGCATCGTGTTTGAGGCCAAGCAATAAAAATGCTTTTTATGGTATACATTATTAGGCACTTTAAAAATGTTGTTGTTAAGTTCTGCATTTCCCCCTTCATGTCTGACCATAAGTTATAAATTTATAAATATGTACATATGTAAAAAATAGTTGTAAATAGCAGTTTCTGTGTGACAACAGAAAAGACTCATCTTTACCTTTGACAAAGGGCTGCACCTACATTGATGGCACCAGTTTTTTGTTTGTTTGGGTTTTTTTGTTTTGTTTTGTTTTGACATTTATGGTAGATGGGCCAGAAAAGTTATTCTTATTGTCACCCTTGTTTTTAGTTTTAATGGCCAAAATCTTATTTGAGCTTAATAACATCCTGACAGTTCAGATTTTCTGAGAACATAGATCAGGATTTTCTATTATTTCTCCACTTTGCTGTATTTTTTTATGCACTTCTTAATCTTTTGAAGTTTAGATAAATCAAAGGGAGCTTTTGGTCTTGCAGGATAGTGTATGGATGCTTCATTTAAAATGATTTAAAATTATAGAACGCGAGTGTTTATAATCATTCTTCTTTCCATAAACCATTTTAAAGATGCAAAATAGAAGTGACATGAATTTATTAAAATGAGACCAATTTTTCAGGAAATACATTTTTAATATACTAACAGAGGTCTCTTTGGCCCATAATATGATGCTCTTTTAGGCAGTTGTACATTGACGTAAAGGATCACAGTATGTACAAAATGTAGATAAGAACATGTGCATATACAGAGATATAGTCTCGTTATTGTATAGCTGCTACTCTGATTCATCTAATATTTATTCAACAAATATTTTTATACCTCCCACTATGTGCCATACCATGGGGATGGTGTTAATAACACTCATATCACACCCACAGAATTTAGTTGAAAGATAAAGTGCACCTTCTTCTAAAAACTTAAGAGCAAAGGCTAAATGGAACACATGAATTAATATAGCACTGAGAGTTGTTCTAACGAACTATAAGATCATGAGTGTGCTTAAGATAGTAGCTGTCTTGTTTTTTTCTTCCTATTCATGTTGCTATTTTTTAATACAAAAATGGAATAAATATAACTATTTAGTAATGATTTTAAACGTCAGTGATTTTTGAAATGCCAGTGTTACTGTTTAGCAATCTTCAGGGATCTCTCTCGAATTTATCTCAGGTTTGGATAAGTGATCCCCTTGAGTGAAGTTTCCAATTTTTTTTCTTAAATATTTCATAATTTATTTAAAAAGAACACAGATTCCATTATTTCATTCGTATTTTTCTTTGATAGATATATGTGTGTATACATATACATATATCTGTACATATATATACATATGTATATATATGATGTAATCAGTATTTAATTACGATTGGTTCTTTCTATATTCCTGGCTAAGGGAACTGAATTCTACCATGGTATCATAGATACTAGAGGAGCACCAAAACTCTGTGGATTCTGTCACTACCATACTTTGGCACGACCTGTCATCATTTCAATGGGAGGGCAAGGGAAGTAAGTCAAGTCACCTTCTTCAAAGTCATGGTTCTTCAACATTTATTAAGACTGTTTTCAAATGCTCCATTCTTGATGTCTCAGACAATAACTGTGAAACAGGGAACAATTTATTATTTAACTTGAAATCTGAGATCATATTAATAGATTTGTTAATAATAAATTTACCAAACACCAAACTGTATAGGTTGTCCCTGTTGTTAGTTTTCTGACATTCTTACATGCATTTGCATATTTTTGAAGCAATTTGCAGATTTTTTTTCATATAAAAAGATTCAGAATTTCAAGGGAATCAAGTTGACCCATTGCTACCCTGTAGTGCATTTATTTACTATTTTGAAAAAATTTGAATTCAATTAATTAATAGTGTATTATTAGTTTCAGAGGTAGAGTTCGGTGATTTGTCAGTTGCATATAATACCCAGTGCTCATTCATCTCATGCCCTCCTTAATGTCCATCACCCAGTTACTCCATTGCCCCCCCAACTCCCCTCCCCTCCAGCAACACTGTTTGTTTCCTATGATTGAGAATCTCCTATGGTTTGTCTCCCTCTCTGATTTCCTCTTGTTTTATATTTCCCTCTCTTCCCTTATGCCCCTCTGTTTTGTTTCTTAAATTCTACATATGAGTGAAATCATATGATAATTGTCTTTCTCTGATTGACTCATTTTGCTTAGCATAATACTCTTTAGTTCCATCCAGTTGTTACAAATGACAAGATTTGTATAAAAAATTTCAGAATTTCAAGGGAATCAAGCTGACCCATCGCTACCTTGTAGTGAATTCATTTTCCTTTTAATTGAGGTTTCATGGGCACTGTGGGTTGCCCTCTTATTAATTCAGAGTGTAGAGAAGCATACCATTTAAACTGAGAAGGGCTGTGGTTATTTTTAATATCCATGCTTGGAATACAGAGACACTGTATCAAAATTACTCATAATAGTGTGGACAAGACAAAGTATAATCGTTTTTCTTCATTGAATTCATGCTTTAAAAGATGAAATCCAGTATTTAATGAAATTTTAACATCCATAATCTTTTGTAACAAGCATTTGTATAAAAGATACTAATATTTTCCATTAGTATAATCACTCATATTTTCATCATATTCAAAAACAAATTTAGGACCTCAAAAACAGGAAAAGGAATATCAAAAAGAAAAACCCACTAGAAAAAATGAGGATGTTGCTAATTAAACCTAGTAAAGGATTTTCCCTTTTTAACTCCCAAGAAAAGGGAGAAATTAAATATGCATAAATATATACACAAATGTTTAACAGTTATGATTCCATCACGATAAGCATCATGATTAAAATACTAAAATAGATGAAATTCATGTGAAGGCATGTGGGAAAAGTAATCAAAAAATATTCAAAATCTATTATAAGGATTTTGTATCATGTTCTTGGAAATTCTTAATCACTCAGACATATAAATATTAGACATATTTATACCACTGTTTTCAACTTTCTTTAGTTGAAATATTCTATTTGTCTGTATACATGAAAAACAATTTCTCATATTATAATTATAACACCACTTTAAATCACTTTCTCTATGCTGTAGTTAATATGTAATATCAGTTAATATGACCAGTAGGGAAGAACAACCAATAGATGTTTCAATTTATAGTTCCCAAAGAATCCTTAATAAGTTCTTACCTTTGATTAGAAATGCGTGTGTGTGTGTGTATGTGTGTGTGTGTGTGTGTGTGTGTATTTCCAGGTATGAAAGAACATTTTGAGAAATTCAGATGATTTTATGAAATCTAAACAATTTATTTTATTAATGGGTCCAATCTCGAATTATATCTTATTAACTAGCCATTAACTTAGTTAATAGAATAGTTTTTTTTCAATAGATCCATAACAGACTTATTAGTTGGAATTTAGTCTTGAGCCATATATATGGTTGGAGATATCCTTCCTAT